GCATTGGCTTGTCCTGGTTGGACAGACAGTTGGAAAAAAGATGCATTGTTAGACAGTGACAGTGAGAAATGTGTAGAGAGAAATGTGTAGTGCGTAATCAAACGTTATTGCTCAGAATTCATGTCTTATAGAAATTAATTTCTTACAGTATCAAGAGTATTGTGTGCCTTTCTGTGTGTGGATGTTTGTATGATAGCGCACTCTTGTGTGTCCTAACAATGGCACAGAGCGCACTCTTTTGTGTCATAACACTGGCACAGAGCGCACTCTTGTGCGTCCTAACAATTGCATAGAGCGCACTCTTGTGTGTCCTAACAATAGCATATAGAGCGCACTCTTGTGTGTCCTAACAATGGCATAGATATGTACTTAAAAATGTTTTACCCCACGCCAAGAATAAATGAGGCCAATGTCTTGTAGCATGAGGTCATCGGTCAGCTCCTCGCCCCCTCGGAACATCTCAATCTGGGGACAGCAAGAGAAGTGGGATGTTCCTCAGGTAAAAAAAAAATGGCCGGCAGTCCGGCAAAACAAAGTAGCGTAAATAAATAAATGGTTATCACACGTGAGGGATGTACGGACACACAAATAATGAAAAGCTATTCATTTCATAAGCAAAAATACATTTAATAAATAAAAGACAGGATATTAATCAGTGGCTGATGTAATTGATAAGTAACCGGTACAGTTAGTCCATCATGCGGCTGGTAGGATTAATGCATGGCCGGTACAATTAGTCCATCATGCGGCTGGTAGGATTAATGCATGGCCGGTACAATTAGTCCATCATGCGGCTGGTAGGATTAATGCATGGCTGGTACAATTAGTCCATCATGCGGCTGGTAGGATTAATGCATGGCTGGTACAATTAGTCCATCATGCGGCTGGTAGGGATTAATGCATGGCCGGTACAATTAGTCCATCATGCGGCTGGTAGGGATTAATGCATGGCCGGTACAATTAGTCCATCATGCGGCTGGTAGGGATTAATGCATGGCTGGTACAATTAGTCCATCATGCGGCTGGTAGGATTAATGCATGGCTGGTACAATTAGTCTATCATGCGGCTGGTAGGATTAATGCATGGCTGGTACAATTAGTCCATCATGCGGCTGGTAGGGATTAATGCATGGCTGGTACAATAAAATGTAAAAACGTCTTTTAACAAGGAGTGATTTTTTTCGTGTGTTTTTTTTAATATTACGTTTAACAAGGACTTACTCATTTCTCTAACATTTGCTCACGTGATTAAACAAGCAGTGGTTTTGGACAAACAGCGGCCTATATTTGTATACAGACAGATGCCTAGATTTGTACAGACAGCGGCCTAGATTTGTATACAGACATATGCCTAGATTTGTATACAGACATATGCCTAGATTTGTACAGACAGCGGCCTAGATTTGTGCATATTATACTGTTTACTAGGTTCGTACAGTCGTACAGGCTGCTGACTACATTTGTACAGACCGTTTCCCCTTTGCCCACCATACATTCAGCAATAGCTTCGGGTTTAGGCCTAAATTTAATGCGAAACATGTTGTGTTGAATTAATCGGTTGCTTTAAAATGTATTTCATTGTAAGACTTTTCACTGGGTGAGATCATATTCTCGAATGATTGTTCTCGTGTTTCATTGTAAGACTTTTCACTGGGTAAGATCATATTCTCGAATGATTGTTCTCGTGAAATGAGCATTGATCTTTCACATATAGTTTTGGCCTGACAACATTACAGAATGTTCATAATTATTCCCATGCCATAGGATTATTGATTTTTGTGCACATTTTCTAACAGATTATATATTGTTTTGTATAACTATAATCATATGATAGGATTATTGTTTTTTTTTTGCAGATTTTCTAGTAGATGATGTATTGTTTTGTATAACTATAATCATATGATAGGATTATTGATTTTTGTGCACATTACCTAGTAGATTATATATTGTTTTGTACACCTATAATCATATGATAGGATTATTGATTTTTTAGGCATATTCTCACGGAAATAGATTGCTGATCATCATGCGCATGTTTATGTGATAATGACATTCTGACAACAGCACATAATTATCAGATGACAAAATTATCGAGAATCACATCTATATGACATTGCAATGAGACTGCTCACAAACACAGAATGCACCTCGGTGTGCATAAGTCGCAATTTCACAGCAATCTCACCTTGAAATTTTCACCCAACTGAAACTTGCACCTAACAAAGCGTTTCAGATGTTTGACTGTCACCTCAGATGGACAGAGTAGGTAGCGAGTGTCCCGGACCTGTAATCGGCACAAAACATGTCATTTTTTAAAAACTGACCAAAATAACACTTTTATTTTATTTGGCAATATCCTTAATTCAAAAAAAAAAAAGAGTGGAATAAGAAAATATGAAATGAGAGATACAGAGAGGGAGGGAGAGAGATACAAAGAGGGAGGGAGAGAGATACAGAGAGGGAGAGAGATACAAAGAGCGAGGGAGAGATACAGAGAGGGAGGGAGAGAGATACAGAGAGGGAGGGTGAGAGAACAAAGAGCGAGGGAGATACAGAGAGGGAGGGAGAGAGATACAGAGAGGGAGGGAGAGAGATACAGAGAGGGAAGGAGAGAGATACAGAGAGGGAGGGAGAGAGATACAAAGAGACAGGGAGAGAGATACAAAGAGGGAGGGAGAGAGATACAGAGAGGGAGGGAGATACAGAGAGGGAGGGAGATAGATACAGAGAGGGAGGGAGAGAGATATAGAGAGGGAGGGGGAGAGCAACAAAAACAAATCGACATACTAGGAACATAAATATTAACATGCCAAAAACCATTCAATCCAATCAAATATTCATTTAAACTTAATATCCAATCAACCAATCCAAGCAGTGGCGCAGGATGGTTTTGAGGGGGGGGGGGTAGGAGTTTTTCGTTATATGGAAGTGCGGCATTTTCGAGCAACTCCAGTTTTTTTGTCGTGGGAAGTGGCGGCAACAAATCTTGGCATTAACCCTGGCTACGCCACTGGAACCAAGCAACCACACTTTTGCTTACCTTGAATTCTTTCTTGTCATTTTTCCTGGAAATGAAACATACGTAAATATTACCATCAGAGTCAACAGTATACGAGTAAGAATTAGTAAACCATGATTTGATTACGCACGAGTAATGAGCAGCCTAGTACGATCTATAGCCACATTGTATATTGTTTACACTTTTAATAGAATACAGTAGAGTTTTCAATGAGGGCACACACGGGTACAAAGCGAGATGATGCGGGGCTACCTACCTGAAGGCCATCTGCAGGATGAGACTGACGTGGTCATCTCCAGGTTTGAACTCCCTCTCGAGGCTCGCCTCACCTTTCTCCTCCAACGTTAGGTCCTCAAGGTCACCTGTCGAATGGATAACGGACTATTTTTTGTTTTGTTTTTGTTGGATTCTTTAGTTGGGCTGAGGGTCAAGAGCCAAATTTATCATGGGGCGTTTGGCTAATCCTAAAGCATGATTCTGGCATATTTCCGTGGTCAGTAGCCAAATTTATTATGGGCAGTTTGGCTAATCTTTTAACGTGATTTTGATATATTTGCGGGGTCAGGATCTAAATGTATCACGCATTTTGACACATTTCCGAACAAATAAGGGCATATCTGGTGAGGGTGATGGCGCCATTCCCACTGATTCTAATATGAATACGTTTATCTATTAGACGTGTACCACATCCAATTCTTACAGTCTCAGTTTTTAAATGTATTTTACGTATTCCAGAAAACACCATTACTAAACCAGGTTTCAAAGGCGAAAAAGAACCACAACAACGTGGTATTGAAGCAGGAGTCACTGCAGTGTGTGTCTGCACCCGGATTGGCGGAGCCATATAAAAGCTTGTTAACATATCATGTACATAGATATTTATTCGGGATTCGCTCATAAACTGAGGTCAAAACGTGTTACTATTTTTTAGCCTTCTTTCTATTGCTTACTTTGATTACACCGTTTGTGGATTGTGTCAAAGTCATCGCTGAGGTTAACATGAGAACGGCATTACAGGTCACACACCGAAAGTCCTCCTGCCCTTGGCTATTTTAGTGTCACGGAAAATTCGTAGAAAAAAACCTGAAGAGGGTTTCGTCCCTAATATAAAAATAGACTCCACAAAATGAGTCTTTTAGCTTAAAGCCCATTGTCTACCATTATTCTAAAATAAGATCGGAGCTGGCAAAACAGTTTCTCCCCCTGACATTTTAATCAGTGCATTCAATTCAGGGGTTTGGTTGCTCCCTCCCTTCCCCACTCCCCTCGAGGGTGGTTGAGGTGAGTGCAGAGATGCCTCAAAGATCCCTGGATGGGAGCAGTCACGTTTAATAGTATATATGATAAGATAGTTTTACTAAATGTGTACTGTTTCGGTACGAAAACCAATTGGATACGTTCACGAAGGAGGAAAATATTTATTTTCGGATTGAAAAGAGCATAATGGGTTGGTGCCAATAATTTCCGCTTTCATATCATTTGTGGTTGTCATGGTTTGGATGAGTTAACATGGATCGGATGACGTCACCGTGAAGTGAGAGGAAATAAATTATTCAGAGTAAAAGTATAAATTTTATTTTTAAAACTATATTTTTGGGTCTGTTTTAATTAACCCTACGCAACTTACTGGGATTGAGTTTGGAAACAACAAACATGATTTTGGAACCAACCCAACTTGGTAAACGTAGGCGGCATCCACGGGCAAGCTACTCTGTTTTACAAAAATTTGAACGTAGCCCATTAAAAAAAAACTCACTGAAAAGTTTTTATCACTCTAATGCTCCAAATTAAAATTTCGAATGGAAGTGAAAAAAATATGGCACCATCAACTCCTTGCCTTTATTAACAGTGAAGCTATGTGTCTTAATTCCGCCATTACCAAATGTTCGTACATTTCTTAAAAATACAAATTAATGTATCTGTTTATAAAGGTAATATTAAAAAATGAATTGTTGGATGATGTGATTATGACCCATTGCTTACTTTCAGACAGTGTGGCGTGGAACTCTCTTCTTCGGCGCATTTCATCTGCGAGAAAGAAACAAATGCAGTAATTAATTAAAAATACCGCTACCTGTAAAATAGAAGCAGACACACTTGTATTGGCTGTGTCCTGCTAAACACGACGGCACTCGAATACATCCTCATTGAACGTCCGTAAATATGCGCCTCTTTCCCACCCCTCCCCCTTGTCCACACTTTTCTGGATGTGTCTTACAACCCCCCCCCCCCCCCCCCCCCAACGTGGTCCGCATCCAGCATTATACATTGCGAAATGCCAGAATGTATACTTTCTATAGGAGCCAAGAGTCATTAGATGTAGACTCCTAAATAGAAATGATAAATATACTTCATTCGAATAAAGTCAACCAGACCTGAGAATTTGAGAAAAAAATATAATAAAAGCCTTAACTCGCATTGTTTACATTTGTGGATGAAATGCAACACACTATTTAGAGTGATTTTTCCACCATGAAATTTTTTTAATTTATTTTACTAACTTCCTGGTGGCTTAAAATTATATTTATTTCCCAACTTTGCCAAATATATCAGCCAGTGAAGACGTACGCATTTTAAAAAAAATTAAACATACTGGAATATACCCAGTGGGACTAAAGCGTATAGTAAAAAAAAATAATGTTAGCTTGCAGACGTCGGCAAATTTCTTTGCAGCCTCCCCCCCCCCCCCCCCCCCAAGATCGGAACTGGCAAAACAGTTCTTCCCCCTGACGGGGGGTCAGCAATTGAACTAATCCACCCCAACCCCCTCTTTGCGTACGCCCTATGTTAAGGACGCCACACGTATATTTTAAGACTCAAAATATGTGAATGGCGAAATAAAGACCCAGAGAAACAACTTGGCCCGCCAAACACCTGTCTCCACTTATTGTCTGCTCCAGCTCTAGAGAGTGCAGACGAACCCTGCCGCCACCTTAGTGGCGGCGACAAAAGGCTTACCATACTGCAGATGTTTTAACACATTACATACGGAGGTTTCAATCGGGGATCATTCTACCTCCATGTTGTGTGTGTGTTAGATAGTGTGTGTATGGTGTGTGTGTGTGTTTGATTGTGTGTGCATGTGTGTGTATGTGTGCTTGTGTGTGTTTGTTTGGTGCGTGTACGTGTGTATGAATGTGTGTGTGGTGTGCTTGTATATGTGTGTGCGTGTATGTGTGTGTATGTGTGCGCGCGTGTGTAATGATCTCTTTTTTAAAAAATAATTATTACTGTTTCCTTTTTTTGTTGTTGTTGTTGTTGCAATTAACGGATTACTCGGTCGTTGCAAATGTTTACAATAATGACATGTTCTATCACTGGCACAGGGTATTTTGAAAGTCAACTCCACTCCCCTCCCGCCATAATCTAACATTTCCGGCAGTCGGTCGACGTCTGGGAAACATGTCTTCAAATCAACCGACTATACACGTGTCCCTCGGCATAATAATGTCTGTTATAGAGCCAATTAATTTTTTACAGTTATTTCTGACTGTGTCTGCTCTCCTGATTTCAGATTTTTTGTTTTTTAGTTGACACATTCTATATAGGAAGTGTCAGTAAGAAATCTAGTTTAAGCTACCCTCACCTTGAAAAAGTCCAGGCACCAGCTTATAAACAAGACTTTGAAGTGTCTGATCCGGCCTGGAATTGAAGAGTTGTTGAAATGACATGTGCATTTTCATATAACTAAATATAACATAACAAATGAACATATTTATATGTGAGTTTATGCTAAGTGATTCGAGGACAATAGTTCCAATCACGTCACCCTTCAGTTTTTAATATGGGACTTTTTAAAGTACTGATGTCACGATGCCTTCTGTGTCCAGTTTCCAGGTCTTCATAAGGAAATCGTATACTGTCAGGCTAATCTTAATATTTTGTCCAGCACGTTTAGATCAGATCGCGGGCATGATAAGTTCAACTTGTAGGCGAAGTAAGCTAAACGAAAGCTGACTCATTACATATAGGGAGTTTCTGAACAGGATCTAAACATCTAACTTCACTTTGCAAAATACAATATACTGAATGGTCAGACAATGTGAGTTACAGAATGGTCAGACATGGTGAGATCAATTATGGTCAGGCAAGGTGAGATCTATTGTGGTCAGGCAAGGTGAGATATATTATGGTCGGGCAAGGTGAGATATATTATGGTCAGACAAGATTCGGCAATGTACCTGATGTTGAGCAGTGGCCTGGTCTTGTGGATTTGTGCGTCACAAATAGGGCACACTTTGCTGGTCTCCAGGAAGTTGACGATGCAAGACCGACAGACTGGAGCAATGAAACATACATCGTTCAGTAAAATAGCAAATATATTTGTGACATTAATGATGTTAGTAGAATGTCATCATATTTCAGCGCACGCTATATATTTAACGCAATTGTAGTTAATATAATAATGACAAAAATAGACTATCGTGGGGTGGCCAACTTTAACAAAGATCTATAGAGATAGGTATCCTCTACAGATTTTTTAAATATTTTAAGCAGTCTATTTTAGAGAAACAAGGTGTGCCTTGAATGCAATGACATGTAAATATATATATTATCTGAAATTGTTGAATTTGTGAGCGATTTATTATTATTCAAACAGACCTTTAACAAATATATTTACTATTGCTGTAGAACATTTAAAAAAAAAATGTATACACATTTCTTAGTTTGAAATCATTGTATTACACTAATAGTTTGACCAGAAAATGCTACCTACCAGACCAAATTTAAACACCACGAAGGTTATTAGTGTTATTTAGGTTTGTGGTAAAATTTATCTCTACGTAAAGTGTGATTTTTAGTGTTTTTTTTAAATACTTGTCTTCGGAAATAACAAAAAATAATAGATAACACATACGTCATAGGTTATTACGAAAGAAAAAAAAATCATGAAAGAAAAAAAAAATTAACGAAAGGGGGAAAAAAATAACGAAAGAAAAACAATATTCTACTTACACGAATGCAGACATTCGATGACAGTCGTCGCCTGTATGAGGTAGCCCCCGCACAGTGCACATAAAATGTGGGGGTTCAGATCCCTGACAGCCACGCGCTTTGAGCCGTACATTTTTATTTTTGGCAGTTCTGACGTCAAGACCAAGCTGCACTCAGCCGCCACGCGCGTCGATCACGTGCCGACCTCTTCCCCACTGGGAAGAAATGAAAAGCTCTTCATATTGGATGTCCTATCCTCGGTGTTAAAAAAAAAAAACAGAAAAAAACAAAAACAAAAAAAACTTGTAAATGAGCGATGACGTCACAGCAGCAGTCTCCCAGCATCTCCCTCCCTCTGCCGCGCTGCTTACATCTTCTTGTTGCCGTGGTAACGTCCCTGAGTGAAAGAAAACAACATCTCCCCGCGAGCGGCAGGGAAGGAATAATATGATTGGTGATGATGATGATGAGGCTGTTGTTGATGTGTGAGACTCCAAGTTATTGGTGGTATAGCTCTCCTTACAAGGGGCCGTCTTGAAACATCAGCTCCCTAAGACAGTAGAGCTTCATTTCTAGAGGCGAAGCCAACAATTACTCGACCTCGTCTCGTGGAGCAGCGCGCGGGTCACGTGTATCCAGAGCACGTGATTGTACTTGTGAGGGGGGGGGGTGGAAAGGTCTGAAAGGGAAAAAAAAGCACAAAGAGAGTTATGAAAACAAGTTATTCAAAATTTATTGGAGAAAAATCGATACTTAAATTTTATTTTGTTCAGGTAAGATTTGTTGTCTTCTTCTATCTGCTAACTTAGTCAAGAGTCAACAACCAACGATGGGCTGCAGCAGCCCCCGCGCATGTGGCCACTGGACCAAGAAGAAAAAAACATTAATTAAACTTTGGGCTAATTATGATATTATTACCCATGACGTCATTTGCATATTTATTTAAAATTTGTGCAAGGAAAGGCAGGAGTCATTCCCCTTTGTTGATATTGTTGTTAATTTTATTGGATGAAGTGTCGGAAGTGGTGGCGGCGAAGGAATATTTTAATAACCGGTTGGAACAAGATTTCGTGTGAATAATTAACGAAGATTTAAAGAAAAGTTAAATTTTGTGGTTTTAAAACTGAAATTTTATGTTTTTGGAATTCATGCAGAGAGTGTGGAATTGTCAGAATGTTAGAAATATTGATGAAAAATAGAGAAATTAATTTTCGTATATGGTACTTGAAAATCATGCGGATCTAGAAAGGTGTGATTAAATATTACGTCACTGTCGTCTTATTGTGCTCCGGTGTCCGGCGGTAAGTTCAAAATATCCAAAATTGTCATGGGGAGGAGCAGTTCGACTCATATCTATATGAATATATGTGGCGACGCTCGTGTGGCAATAAAGATCAAATGAGGGAATTTTTAAATGTCATAAAAATTGTGTATCCGCCCCATTTACGAGATCTTGCTTCGTAAAGAGTGAGTAAAATAACGAATTATCATTTGAAAATTTCATTGTTTTTTGTTGCTTTTTAAAATCGTCCATTACCATGCATTTCTGAATTTTAGGGTTAAGGTTAGGGTTTATTGTTAGGTTTTGGGTTAGGGTTAGTTTTAGGGTTAGGTTTAGGGTTAGGGTTAGGTTTAGGGTTAGGTTTAGGGTCAGGTTTAGGGTCAGGGTTAGGGTCAGGGTTAGGTTTAGGGTTAGGTTTAGGGTTAGGGTCAGGGTTAGGTTTAGGGTTAGGTTTAGGGTTAGGTTTAGGGTTAGGTTTAGGGTTAGGTTTAGGGTTAGGTTTAGGGTCAGGGTTAGGTTTAGGGTTAGGTTTAGGGTTAGGTTTAGGGTTAGGTTTAGGGTTAGGGTTAGGTTTAGGGTCAGGGTTAGGGTTAGGTTTAGGGTCAGGGTTAGGGTTAGGTTTAGGGTCAGGGTTAGGTTTAGGGTTAGGGTTAGGGTCAGGGTTAGGTTTAGGTTTAGGGTCAGGGTTAGGTTTAGGGTTAGGTTTAGGGTTAGGTTTAGGGTTAGGTATAGGGTTAGGTTTAGGGTTAGGGTTAGGTTTAGGGTCAGGGTTAGGTTTAGGGTTAGGTTTAGGGTTAGGTTTAGGGTCAGGGTTAGGGTTAGGTTTAGGGTCAGGGTTAGGTTTAGGGTTAGGTTTAGGGTTAGGTTTAGGGATAGGGTTAGGTTTAGGGTTTAGGGTTTAGGATCCAGGTTAGGGATTTGCGCCATCAAATTTTTGCTCATTTTTCAAAAATTTCAAAAAAAAAAATTCAAATTTTACTCGTTTTTTACTAATTTTTTTAAAAATCATTTTTCTTAAATTTCAAAATTTAATAGTTTTTTACAATTTTTTTAAAATTACAAAACCAAAATTTTCGTTGATTTTTTATTTTTTTCCGAAAAATTTTTTTTCTTCCATTTCTTTACATTTTACATTTTCTTTAAAATATTTTTCACAGATTACTATATATTTGTGTGTTTTCCTATCTTGAAAATTAAATTTTCTTGTAATATTGCTTATTTTCGATCTTTCGGTAAGTTTTTTGATAAAACGCATTCTCCCCAACCGTTCCCTTTTTGTACAATACGTGTCTTTGCACTACTTTTTTTTTTGGGTCGGCCGCCATCTTGGTTGACATGATCCGTGACCTTCTCACGGATCATGTCAACAAAGATGGCGGCCATGCTTGGGAAACCCTGGGTACCACTCTCATAATTTACCAAACGTGTAATTAAAAGATGCACTTCAATTTTGTGAACAATTTTTAAAATTCATCACAAAAAAAAAAAAAAAATGATAGTAAAAAACCATTATTGTCTGGGTACACAATGTTGATGTTTGATTTCTTTATGAAAACAATGGTGACACTTTTAACCCTTGCTAAGTACTCATAAACGGACAATCCAAACTGACCATCGGAAGACACGCGTTTTGAAAAGAGTTGATTCTTTTGCATTGTCGTTTTTTTCTTCCCCTCAGAACTGATCTCCCTACTCAAATGCTTATCAAGCTTACAGACTACCAAGTAATGAAGGGTTGTTTTAATACGTTCTTGCTTATAAATCAATATAATTCTCCGGGTATGTGTGGGGGGTTATGCGAGTTCAATAGCACGCAAAATAAAACTCTCGATAACTGCGCTAAATGATATTCTTAAAATTACCGCTGAGTGCCACTGGTGCGCAATAGTTCTTTTGTTGTTAGCGAAACAGTTTAAATTTAAATATGATGTTTTTTTGTTGTTTCTTTTTTTAAATCTGCTGTGTAAAAACTAAAAGGGGGTGAGGTATTACAATAATAAAATAGTTCAGGGGTGTGAACAAAAAATTGTGTGCATGCTTAAAAAAAAACCTAGGGGAGGGTAGCCCTAATTGGGAATCTTATGAAGCGTGTTACTTGAATGCATGTTTTGTCAAGTAACTTAAGGACATGGAAAAGTTCACCCATTTCCGACGCCACTGCTTGGCGGGCCATAACTAGCTTTAAAATAGTTGCATTAAATAGACCGATGGGGCCGTGAATAAATTTCTATAAAAAAAAAAACGTTTTGACACAGCGAGCGTGCACCTTTTTGAATATTTTATATTAACTTCGCTTTTGTTCACTCACGCCTGGCTCGTTGGGTGGCGGAACTTTTTTTTCGTACTGTTAATTGCCCCACTTCCCGTCCACCGATCGAGCTGAAACTTGGCACGTAGACTCGTTGCCGAAGACAGTACATTCTATAAAATTGTATGCCTGTTTTGTTCGCTATTAAAATTTATAAAGTATTAATATGAAAAACAACAACTTTGTTTTTAGGGTTTGCTCAATTTAAAATCCTTTAGATTACTTACATCTTGATCGACAATACAACTCCTAATGCAATTCAAATATTCTCTTTCCCTACAAATGTGACATACAACGGAATGAGCGGCCAACTGCTTAACATGCAGAGAAACAAACAACCTCACACAAACCAAAATCCCATTTAAAAACAAAAAATTAAAAGTAATTTAAAAAAAACAAGTAAGCAATAATAACGGGACAAAATAACCGCACTAGCAAATAAAGTTTAAACAATTTTTTTTAAAACAACCTACTGATAACAGGACTCTTGAGCAACAAGACTGGCTCTATTCACTAAAGACTATTTACTAAACACTAAGTCAATAAACACTCTTTAAGCGTTATTTTTATTTTATTCTGCTTCTTCTGTTATTTGTTCGATGTGGAAGGCTTCTTGCATTCCCTCCCCCCCCTCCCCCCCCCCCAGGTTTTCCCATACATTTCGTTACGCTCCTTTCCACTAAAGTCCAGAAAGCTTGAGACTCCTCGATGTGAGAACCATTGATTTCATTAATGTATCAGGTAAGCATGGGCTATTTTAGTCGATCAAGGAGGCCTTTTTTGTTTTTTTTTGTTTGTTTTTTTTTTGGTGGTGAGCAGCTGAAACGATTTCAGGTCATTGGAATAGTTATGAGTCAAACATATGTGGGGCATTCATCAAGACACTTTTAGCTAACGCGCGCGCTCGGCATTTACAAAAATACCCTCCGGGATTGAGGTCAAATCAATTACAATTACTCGCAAATGTGGACATTTTATTTTAACGCACTCTTCAACCAGCCGGGTTGATTAGGGCGCTACGCTCAGCAGGAATAGAGAGACAGGCGGACAGTTCGCGGATAATTAAAATCCGGATACCATCAAATTATAAGTGTGACACTGCGTGTTCTTCTTGATGACGTCACGTCGACTGCCAAACGAACTATTGTTGTTACGAATGTATCACTACGAGAACGACGAGATTCAACATTTTAATAATCTCTTATATATATATATGTATATATATATATATNCATATACATATATATATATATATACATATACATATATATATACATATATATACATATATATACACACACATACAGTCGAACCTACTTATCTCGACCTCGGTTAGCTCGCCAACCCTTTCAAGTCGAAGTCGGCGCTTTTAAAGTGGAACCGCCAAATTCTGTCTTTGTCTTAGCATTTTCTCATCGGTTATGTCGATTCTTTTATGTGCGGAACCCTAATATCTCGAGGACAAAATGGGCCAACTTTGCCACTTAACCTCGGTTATCTCGATCCCCATGACTAATAGCCGGCTTTTGAACTCCGCAAGAAGAAATAGCAAACAACAAATAAACAAGTTTTGCATAACTAAAAATAATTATTTATTTCTCAAAATACAGGAGTGA